ACTCCTAGATACGTGGTTTGATTTTACAAGCAAGAGAATATGGATATTTGTAAACTTTTCCACGCCACTGGTCGGAGCAATCAATCTTCTGAGTTGTTAAATTTTTTCATTAGAAAATTTTATTCTCCTAAGCTGGTCGCGATGGAAGCTCTATAAGCAAGCACATGGATCGAGTGTGGAGCGTGATTTATTGATCGACCAGCCAAAGATTGCTAGGGACGAAAGGGGGAAATGCGATGAAAAAACCTTACCATTAGACGATTTTATATGGAGTCATAGGCGGAGATCGGAGAGACTTGAATTATTAATTGAATTTATATTTTATTACAACTGGTAGTATTAATATTTTTTTGCGATTCATAATGACGTGATACCAAACATACATTATAAGAAATAAATATACACAAACACTGAATATTGAGAACAAAATAAATATATTTTTTAGGCAACAAGTAATATTCCTATGTACGCATTATGATTGAACAGCAAAACAAATTATGCATTCTTCTAAAATAGAATACAACAAGTCAAAAATATCTGACTGAATAGAAAAATATAGGAAAACAAAAAGTAATTTCTTGATGAAATAACCCATAAACAACACATAGAATTAGACTTTCTACTGAGATACTAAAAGCCACAAACCAATAGTATAATAAATGAATATCTAAAAATTCTAAAAGGTAGCCAATCTAGTATAGTTTCAATCCTGATTAGAGTCATGATCACTGTCTGAGGAACTGTCATTGCTATCACTTTCACCTCCTATGTTGATTATTATTTCTTCCTGTATTTCTTGAATGAGACTGTCTTTTTCCCAATATTCATCTTCAATTTTTATAACATGTCCAATAACCTTTTGCCAGTCACTGGCACTTACTGAAGCGATGGCCTTATTAGAAATTTCATCTAGTTTTTTTATAGTAAATTCGCCGCTTGTATTATGGCTTCTAATGAAAAATTTTACTTGTGCCCAAATCATCTCTATGGGATTAAACTGACACATATAGGGTGGCGTTCGAAGTGGGGTGTGTCCGAAACTTCTTATTAAATTATCTATCTTATAATTTTTCTCATCAGATGGTGGCCTATGTAGACAAGCTATTTCATAAAGCTCCATTTTTTTAGCATTAGGATCATGCTCTATACCTTTTTTGCTCAACCACGTGATGATGTCTCTTTTTAGAGAAGATCTAGTTGGAGGCTTGTCTTCCAAAGCTGAATGGTAAGGTGCATTATCCATTATTATAATACTATTAGGAGGAATGTTAGGAAATAGTTTTTCAGTAAGCCACTTCGTGAAATTTTCTTGGTTCATTTGACCGTGATAATCACCAGTGGCACAGCCAGCCTTGAAAATGAGACAGGCTCCAGGAACAAAACCATCTTGCGAACCCGCATGAACAATTATAAGTCGTCCTGGAAATGAATAAATAGCCTCATTTTAGTGTTATTTTAAGTTTGCCAACACCTTTTTGAATCACTATGTATAAAAAACATATTTTTGAGAAAAAAATACTTGCAAGGGATTATGTATTCAATTAGACAAATTAAATGAGCACTTATTAAGAATATTCCAAAATTGAGAAAAATGTATAATAAGCAAAATCGAGGTGAAAGAAACTTTATTACCTGTAGAACTTATATTGCTCAGGACACCCATAATTTCTTCGCTTTGCCAGCATTTCTTGAAAGTGAGGTCATTATCAACCCAAGTTTCGTCCAAATAAATAATATGCCTTCCTTCTTCCCGGAACTTTTTAATAGACCTAAGATACTTGTATCGCCAATGTAAAATACTGGGTCTTTCCATTAGTAATTTCCTTTTGTTGTGGCATTTACGCCAGTAAAATCCTTTTGCTTTTAAAAGCAGCCTCAACGATTCTTTACCAAATGGAAATTCCATTTCTTCCTTCAGTTTGATTAGAAGTTTACTACAAGTAGGTACCACTTTAAAATCACAGTAAAATTTTTCTATCATTCTCCGAATAATGGAAAAATCGACTCCATCAATTTTTTGGATCACAGAAGGGCGTGATCTCTTTTTTCCGGGAGAAGCTAAAGGCTGTGTGGAGGTTGCATTTTGCCTGTCTTTATCTTCTTTTCTAATTTTACTTATAGTTCGTTCACTAACACCCGTATAATATGCCGCCCTTGCATTTCTAGCTACCAGTGGATAAACGAAAGTATTGTTAGCCGCTTCTGCATCGCAAGCACGTATCACGTTTGCTATTATTTCCCTTGCCTGGCTGTGAATAACTTTCCCATGCTTGAATTCCATTATCACCACTAAACAGTAAATTATATTTTCAAAGTATTTGCCAACTGCCTACGCCTATGGGAGTAGGTTTATAAATGACCGTGCCATCGGCACGTTATTCTAGTTTCAGATAAGATAAGAGTTTTGGACCAATCAGCGACCGGATGTTTACCTGCGGCCTGGGTTTTCCAGCTACATTGCCAAATTCAGCGGAACAATTCTATATCTTAAATATGTTAATATGTATGGACCGCATTTTATGTAGAACATCTGACAACTTCGCAATTTTTTGTCCGCATTCTTTCGGCTTGCAATCTTTCGCTGGTCCAACAGTAGCAGCTTTGTTATTCTCTATTATTCGGAGGACAGTGACCCTCGGAATGTTTTCCAGCGCGAATATTGATCATCCAGTACGAGCGGGGGATTCAGTGTGACCGATTTGTTTGCCAAGGCATGAAACATTTATTGGTTCCGATAAAATTGAATTGATGGAGGTGTGCTGGAAAGGTGTGATGTTTCCATTCAATCAGGTGATGAAATTATTGCACGTAACATCTGGGGGCGTCTCCGTTTTCCTTCTTTTATACAGGAACAGTCTTCCTTAAAAATGATGGATCTAATGACTTCTCATAAGAAGGACGGTTTTGACCTGCTTCTTCTGAGGCCGAGATACAAAATGATAAACAAACCATGGGCGTAGCGAAGAAAAGCATTTACTTATTAAGTAAATTCATTTAGTCAAATTTCTTCTGAAAGTAGTACAAACTAATCTGATGTACCTATTAAAATCTACTTTAAGCTTTAAATCAATAAATGTTCAAAGCTACTGAACTGAAGCTCATGTATTTTACATCATTATAAAGGGAATTGAAAGACCTTTAAAATAAGGTATCACTCGACCCCCCTTTCCATTTAAGATTTTAGGGTTGGTGTCACCCCCGCCCAGGGGGCTGCACGTGTTAACGTGATTTTTTGCCAAACTTGTGTCCCCCTCGAAAACAAAATCGACGGGTCTGAGCGTTTTTCCAAAAAAAAAAAACTGAGCTACCAGTAAATGCGTCTGTTTCGTTTTCGATGCGCCACCCTGTATATTAATAAACTTATCAAACAATACTTGAAGTGATTTTGATTTGCTATTCCTTATATCTTTTGGAAGTTGACGTGGATATTATTACTCCGCCTCATGACAACTGTTTTTTTTTTATTGCGAGTAAATTTGGTCTTATTCCGGATACGCCACATTTTACATTTTTTGAAAATTTCTCTACAACTGTGGGTGATCTAAAAGCTCGATTTTGAGCAGCAGAGCAGCCCCAAAAACAAATATCATATCTGAGTCTGAACTCCACAAGACCGTATCATATTCCGACCAGCTGACTTTCAGAAAAAACCAAACTTGAGTTTTTAAACAAATAAGAGAGGTAGTTAAATTGGGTAACCAAGTAGTCGCAATGTACGCTGAAGCTTAACTTATCGTCCAGAAATATTAACAGAAACTTAACATCAGTAGTGAAGTTCAATGACGCATTCTTATATTTAATGTTAAGAATATTCATCTTCGTTTGTGGGTTATGAAACCTAATTGGTCTTGTCACTGTTTAAAAACAACCGACAATCACTTCTACTACTACAATATCATTTAAGATATTTTCCAATTTGCTCTAGACCAACATTGATGCACCATCTGCATATAACGTAAAAGACATCGCTTCCTCACACACTAACTGAATTTCTTTGATATAGATAATGAACAAAATAGGTCCTAAAATGGAACCTTGAGGAACCCCAATATCCATAGTGACCTTACTTCATTGGGCTCGATGTAAAATTGTAAAAAAATGTAAAAACAAGAGCAACGTTTAAATATGAAGCTCCTCCCGAAAATCACAAATGGAACTGAGGACCTCGTCACTGGCACTGCGCCTGTCGAGTACTCCAGATCACTGAAGCGCCGTATCCAGCCGAGTCTGCGATTCAAATAAACAGTTTAACCGTTTTTAATAAAGTTTTCAATTTTATTATATTACTAGTTTACCTAACCTAATTAAACAGTTTAATTAAAAAAGTACATGGTTTACTATACTAAGTGAAACCTATAAATCTGTATCAGGAACGCAGAAATGAGAAAATATATCGATGCCAGGAGGAATTATTTGCAAACCTCCTCACGTTTCTGTAAACCTGATAACGAGTCTCCAATCTACCAATTTTACAAAGAAGCTGTGATCCAGATAGCAAGTCACCGTCCATCAATTTCACGAGCAAAGTTTGTTCGACGATGTGATTTTTAGAAACCTATAAATCTGTATCAGGAACTCAGAAATGGCAAATTATATCGATGCAATGGATTTAAATTTCGTTCCTATCTCATACCAGGAGGAATCATTTGCAAACCTCCTCGCGTTCCTGTGAACCTGATAACGAGTCTCCAATCTACCAATTTTACAAAGAAGCTGTGATCCTGATAGCAAGTCACCGTCCATCAATTTCACGGGAAAAGTTTGGTCGACGTTGTGATTTTTAGAAACCAATAAATCTGTATCAGGAACGCAGAAACGGCAAAATATATCGATGCAGAAACGACAAGGAGCATAGACGCCCAGGATCCAAGTTTCACGCGAGTTTCATGTTAAGATTTTTAGAGTTATTGGGAACAAACATGGACGTGCGATGAGTTTACCATTCGCATGTCATCTATGGTGATCAACCTCTTATACCACAGCCAGGCGAATCGCAGTACATCGAAAATGTCTTTCACGCAATGTTTTAAGGGAAAAGGTTTCTTTGTTCCTAACAGGATTGAGTTGGAAAGAAGCAGGTTTTCCTCCCATTCTTCTCTTATCGAGTTGTTCCAGTTGTAGCGTCGAAAATCCTCTTTAACTTCTTTCACTCGTTTCGGCGAGGTGAACACTATCCCTTCCCGTTCCGGAGCGCTCTCGACCCGTTGACTCTTGAATGTAGAAATAGGATTTGTCAAAGCTTTTTTATGTAGCAAGCAATTTGAACGGCCTATTATGTGAAAATAATCCGAAACTTCTGCGAACTTTCTTTGCGGCATGGACTGAAACAAGTATAATTCAATTCAATTCACTTATTAATCCAAAAAGATCTACTATACATAGGCTCTGAATAAGTCACGACAGCCGTATATCACATAGTTCATTAGTAAATAACATACATAGGTAAAACTGAGACGTGTAAAACATTATTCTGAAAATTTGTATATGTCGCACGAGGTCTGTAATTTAAGTGATGAGACTGGCAACGTAGAATTCGATCTGGCACCACTGGAGGTGCCGGGATTGGAGGGGATGCTATTCAAATATTGGAGTTCCAGCATGCTATAATGAACGAAAGAACCGTCTCCTGCGCTGTGTGGCTTCAGAGGTAAATAATTTTGAGGGTGACAGTATCAAATTGTATTTATATTTAAATGATGAGGATCGCAAGAACGCCAAAAGGTTTTGATACCATGGATTTGAATTTCGTGCTCATCTAATAGCAGGAGCAGAGTACCATTTGCATACAGCCTCGTCTTTCTGTGAACCTGATAACAAACCTTCAATCTACCAATTTTACAAAGGAGCTGTGATCCTGATAGCAAGCCACCGTCCATCAATTTTACGAGAAAAGTTTGGTCGACGTTGTGATTTTTAGAAACCTATAAAGCTGTATCAGGAACGCAGAAACGGCAAAATATATCGATGCAATTGATTTAAATTTCGTTCCCATCTCCTACCAGCAGGAATTATTTGCAAATCTCCTCGCGTTTCTGTGAACCTGATAACAAGTCTCCAATCTACCAATTTTACAAAGAAGCTGGATCCTGATAGCAAGTCACCGTCCATCAATTTTACGGGAAAGGTTTGGTCGACGCTGTGATTTTTAGAAACCTATAAATCTGAATCAGGAACGCAGAAACGGCAAAATATATCGATGCAATGGATTTAAATTTCGTTCCTATCTCATACCAGGAGGAATTATTTGCAAACCTCCTCACGTTTCTGTGAACCTGATAACAAGATTCTACCAATTTTACAAAGAAGCTGTGATCCTGATAGCAAGTCACCGTCCAACAATTGTACGAGAAAAGTTTGGTCGAGGTTCTGATTTTTTAGAAACCTATAAATCTGTATCAGGAACGCAAAAACGGCAAAATATATCGATGCAATGGATTTAAATTTCGTTCCTATCTCATACCAGCAGAAATTATTTGCAAATCTCCTCGCGTTTCTGTGAACCTGATCAAAAGTCTCCAATCTACCAATTTTACAAAGAAGCTGTGATCTTGATAGCGAGTCATCGTCCATCAATTTCACGAGCAAAGTTTGGTCGACGTTGTGATTTTTAGAAACCTATAAATCTGTATCAGGAACGCAGAAACGGCAAAATATATCGATGCAATGGATATAAATTTCGTTCCTATCTCATACCAGGAGGAATTATTTGCAAACCTCCTCGCGTTTCTGTGAACCTGATAACAAGTCTCCAATCTACCACTTTTACAAAGAAGCTGTGATCCTGATAGCAAGTCACCGTCCATCAATTTCACGAGCAAAGTTTGGTCGACGTTGTGATTTTTAGCAACCTGTAAATCTGTATCAGGAACGCAGAAACGGCAAAATATATCGATGCAATGGATTTAAATTTCGTTCCTATCTCATACCAGGAGGAATTATTTGCAAACCTCCTCGCGTTTCTCTGAACCTGATAACAAGTCTCCAATCTACCAATTTTACAAAGAAGCTGTGATCTTGATAGCGAGTCATCGTCCATCAATTTCACGAGCAAAGTTTGGTCGACGTTGTGATTTTTAGAAACCTATAAATCTGTATCAGGAACGCAGAAACGGCAAAATATATCGATGCAATGGATATAAATTTCGTTCCTATCTCATACCAGGAGGAATTATTTGCAAACCTCCTCGCGTTTCTGTGAACCTGATAACAAGTCTCCAATCTACCACTTTTACAAAGAAGCTGTGATCCTGATAGCAAGTCACCGTCCATCAATTTCACGAGCAAAGTTTGGTCGACGTTGTGATTTTTAGCAACCTGTAAATCTGTATCAGGAACGCAGAAACGGCAAAATATATCGATGCAATGGATTTAAATTTCGTTCCTATCTCATACCAGGAGGAATTATTTGCAAACCTTCTTGCGTTTCTGTGAACCTGATAACAAGATTCTACCAATTTTACAAAGAAGCTGTGATCCTGATATCAAGTCTTCGTCCATCAATTTTACAAGAAAAGTTTGGTCGACGTTGTGATTTTTAGAAACCTGTAAATCTGTATCAGGAACGCAGAAATGGCAAAATATATCGATGCAATTGATTTAAATTTCGTTCCTATCTCATACCAACAGGAGTTATTTGCAAATCTCTTCGCGTTTCTGTGGACCTGTTAACAAGTCTCCAATCTACCACTTTTACTAAGAAGCTGTGGTCGACAGTGCAATATTGAGAAACTCATAGATCTGTACCAGGATTGCAGAAACGACGAGGAGCATAGATGCTCAGGATCCAGGTTTCACGCGAGTTTCATAGAAACTGCAAGTTTTCGTACTTGTTGGTAATGCGACGTCGGTTTCTCGCAGATATTTGAAATTCTTCAAATTTATAGGATTCGTGCTTTTAAATAACCACAATAAAAATTGGAGTAGATTGGTCAAGTAGTTTTTGAGAATTTATAATTGTTTATCCCAAAACACCTGTTTTCCGGCCATTACTACTAGTTCATTGCGCAATATACAGGGTTAGTTCAAAGGGCATTTTATAGCACATAAGAAGATAATAATAATAATAATAATAATAATAATAATAATAATAATAATAATAATAATGTCTTTATTAATCCCTCCACACTGCGACGCGAAGTTTAGCCAGCTGGCTACCACTTAACCTCACAGCGCAGGAACACATACAAAAGGAAAAACATAACAAAGAATAGCAATCGACTAAGTAATATATACAATAATTAAGCTTAAATAGATTAATCTTAATAATAAACAAAAAAAAACAATAAAGACAAAAAAAAATAAAAATATCAGCCAGCTTGGCTAGCAGACCCCAGAAGGTGGTTCTTAATGGCTCTCTTGAATGCAAGTATTCCCATCTTTTTGTAATTGTCATTAAGACTATTGTACACCTTGACAGCGTTGTAGGTGAAGCTACGATGGAAAATGTTGCTCCTATAACTAGCTATATGGAAGTCAGAGTTAAGTCTCAGATTCCTGTAATTGAGATCCCCACGTGGTACCAGCCTTTTTAGTAGATAAGTAGGTATCCTATTGATTTTTATTCGTTGTACTAAAATTAGTGAGTTATATGTGAAAAGCTGGTCAACCTTCAACCATCTAAGCTCATTGATCTTCTTAGACACATGGCTAAACTTTCGCAGACCACAAACGAACCTACAGCAGCTATTTTGAATTTTTTGTACTCGATATCTAGTCATGTAATCAAGACAAGGAAAGTAAACAGCAATTGAATAATTTATTAACGATAGAACCAGAGTCTCAGCCAGTTTTTTGCGAGTCTTGAAATTCAGAATATGGCGATTGGTGTATAATAACTTCAAACGCATGTATGTTAAGCGATATAAATGCGTAACATGTTGTTTAAACCTCAAATCTGAATCCATGGTGATCCCTAAATACTTCGCATGGTCTACTATAGGAATATGGGTTTCGTTAAGACTAGGAACAATTGTGCCATCTAACCGTTGCACTAACTGTTTTGGGCCAAATAGCATGGTGGAACATTTTGAAGCATTGATCTTCAGACAATGTCTTTTGCAGTACTCTTCAATGTTAACTAGATCCAAGTTCAATTTATATGATGCTTCATGCATGTCCGATGAATCAAAAGACAGAGTTAGCTGCGTGTCATCTGCATACGTTTGAATATTACAGTGCTGAAGGCAAGTATGTAGATCAAAGGTATAAACTAAATAGAGTAATGGTCCCAACACAGAGCCTTGAGGTACGCCAGATGCCACACTCTTTGCCGAAGAAACTCCCTTACGTGTTTTCACCTTCTGGGTACGATTGCGCAAATACGAATCGAAGAAACGTAGTGGCTTGTCAGAGAGACCATAAAATTTGAGCTTACTCAAGAGAATACCATGATGTACCATATCAAAGGCCTTAGGCAAGTCTAGCAGAATCAGAGCTGTTCCTATCTGATCATCTACATTTTTGATGATATGATCCGTAATATATAATAAAACAACGGTTTCGCTACAAAGTATGATAGACTGAAGCATCATGAGAATTAGACAACACGTACAACACCAGCTAGTTAAGTTCGCATCTTGAGGAAAAATCTACGTTATATAAAATGTCAAAAAAAAACGACAAAATGTCACCTTCCAAGACACGTAATACCCGTGCCGTTTTGAGACTATTTCAGATCTTCATACTACCTGTTTCCTCGTATATTATTCACCATAATACTCGTGCTTTAGCGACCAGCACTTTAAAACTAAATAATTAAAGTGAGAACAGCGAAGTACGTGGATAAAGCGGTGAGCTAACTCTCATGTGGCAACAAAATAAGGTAGAAAAAAACACGGTAGCCGCTCTCGTCCACTTATCAGCCTTTTACTTTTTATTTAGAAGATGAATGTCTGCGGGAACATGAATCTCGCTGATCGAACCCCAGGACTTATTTAATGAGAATCGGGAAAATTTATTACTCTTTCACGGTAAGAGAACGCCTATAATGTTTTGCTCCACTACAGTTTTCTAAAGTGTATCTAACGAAGCTACAAAGTAATCGTAAACAGTGGTTGATTCGTGATCAACGCGTGATCGGTAGCCATGGCGCTCTGTCGGCATCTTCCTGATTGGCTTGTAGCGACGAGCCTCAAGACAAAGTCGCACGGTTGCCACGCTCGGCGAGTTTTCGCCAAAGTGGTTGATCACATTCGCATGGATCACAAATCAATCTGTTGGTGCAATACGTGCAATAACTGTTGTAAAGGACATTATATAACAATAAATGGTATCACAAAGGTATATTCCAATTTGATCTGCAGCAAATTATGAACGACATATA